CTTCTTTTTGCTAACCAGAAGGATACACTATATTCTATATACATTTAAACAATTATGCATCTTAACTTACATTTATTCAGTTCTTAATTTTTATATATTTCTTATGTTAGATAATGGTGATTTATGCATTTAGCATTCACTAACTGATTATTAATTTTTTACTTATGATTTGTGTCAAGCTTTATTTGGATGGAAATTCAAATTCAACTAAAAATGCACAAAAACAGCATTTAAATTTTTTTAAATGATTATTAAATAAAACTACAATACCTTAAATGTGTGAGATACATAAGAAAAAAAAGTTTATCAAAACACGTTTTGCAAAACAGGCTGCACTGCGGGGACAGGACGACGGTGAAGAAATTTGGCAGCATGTGACCTCCAGAAGAAGAAAGGGGAGCGTCCATGTACCAGCAACGCAGATACGGGTAAGTAACCATTTTCATGTTCTCTCCACAGGTACCAATGCGAAGAGTGGACTAGATGATACATTGAGGGAAGGGAACAAAAGGAGACTCCGCCGATTGGAAGGCATGAGATGCACTGTCCTAGGGATGGGGGTTCCATGACAACCGCTCCCAAGAGAACGAAGTGGGTGGTGGTGGTCGGGGACTCTCTCCTCACGGGGACTGAGTCATGTATCTGCCGCCCCGACCGGGAAAACCGAGAAGTCTGCTGCTTGCCAGGAGCAAGGATTCACGATGTGACGGAGAGACTGCCGAGACTCATCAAGCCCTCAGATCGCTACCCCTTCCTGCTTCTCCACGTGGGCACCAATGATACTGTCAAGAATGACCTTGAGCAGATCATTGCAGACTACGTGGCTCTGGGAAGAAGGATAAAGGAGTTTGACGTGCAAGTGGTGTTCTCGTCCATCCTCCCCGTGGAAGGAAAAGGCCTGGGATGAGACCGTTGAATCGTGGAAGTCAATGAATGGCTACTCAGGTTTGGGCTTTGATCATGGGATGGTGTTCCAAGAAGGAGGAGTGCTAGGCAGAGACAGGCTCCACCTAATGAAGAGAGGGAAGAGCATCTTCGCAAGCAGGCTGGCTAACCTAGTGAGGAGGAATTTAAACTAAGTTCAACGGGGGAAGGAGACCAAAGCCCTGAGGTAAGTGGGGAAGTGGGATACTGGGAGGAAGCACGAGCAGGAGCATATGAGGGGGAGGGCGCCTGCCTTAAACTGAGAAAGAGGGACGATCAGCGAGTTATCTCAAGTGCCTATACACAAATGCAAGAAGCCTGGGAAACAAGCAGGGAGAACTGGCAGTCCTGGCACAGTCAAGGAATTATGACGTGACTGGAATAACAGAGACTTAGTGGGATAACTCACATGAATGGAGTACTATCGTGGATGGATATAAACTGTTCAGAAAGGACAGGCAGGGCAGAAAAGGTGGGGGAGTTGCATTGTATGTATGACTGCTCAGAGCTCAAGTATGAAACTGCAGAAAAACCTGAGAGTCTCTGGATTAAGTTTAGAAGTGTGAGCAACAAGGGTGATGTCATGGTGGGAGTCTGCTATAGACCACCGGACCAGGGAGAGGAGGTGGACGAGGCTTTCTTCCGGCATCTCACGGAAGTTACTAGATCGCAGGCCCTGGTTCTCATGGGAGACTTCAATCACCGTGATATCTGCTGGGAGAGCAATACTGCGGTGCACAGACAATCCAGGAAGTTTTTGGAAAATGTAGGGGACAATTTCCTGGTGCAAGTGGTGGAGGAACCAACTAGAGGCAGAGCTCTTCTTGACCTGCTGCTCACAAACTGGGAAGAATTAGTAGGGGAAGCAAAAGTGGATGGGAACCTGGGAAGCAGTGACCATGAGATGGTCGAGTTCAGGATCCTGACACAGGGAAGAAAGGAGAGCAGCAGAATACGGACCCTGGACTTCAGAAAAGCAGAGTCTGACTCCCTCAGGGAACTGATGGGCAGGATCCCCTGGGAGAATAACATGACAGGGAAAGGAGTCCAGGAGAGCTGGCTGTATTTTAAAAGAATCCTTATTGAGGTTACAGGGACAAACCATCCCGATGTGTAGAAAGAACAGTAAATATGGCTGGCGACCAGCTTGGCTGAACAGTGAAATCCTTGCTGATCTTAAACACAAAAAAGAAGCTTACAAGAAGTGGAAGATTGGACAAATGACCAGGGAAGAGTATAAAAATATTGCTCGGATATGCAGGAGTGAAATCAGGAAGGCCAAACCACAATTGGAGTTGCAGCTAGCAAGAGATGTTAAGAGTAACAAGAAGGGTTTCTTCAGGTATGTTGGCAACAAGAAGGAAGTCAAGGAAAGTGTGGGCCCCTTACTGAATGAGGGAGGCAACCTAGTGACAGAGGATGTGGAAAAAGCTAATGTACTCAATGCTTTTTTTGCCTCTGTCTTCACAAACAAGGTCAGCTCCCAGACTACTGCTCTGAGCAGCACAGCATGGGGAGGAGGTGACCAGCCCTCTGTGGAGAAAGAAGTGGTTCGGGACTATTTAGAAAAGCTGGACGAGCACAAGTCCATGGGCCCGCATGCGTTGCATCCGAGAGTGCTAAAGGAGTTGGCGGATGTGATTGCAGAGCCGTTGGTCATTATCTCTGAAAACTCATGGCAATCGGGGGAAGTCCCGGACGACTGGAAAAAGGCTAATGTAGTGCCCATCTTTAAAAAATGGAAGAAGGAGGATCCTGGGAACTACGGGCCAGTCAGCCTCACCTCAGTCCCTGGAAAAATCATGGAGCACGTCCTCAAGGAATCAATTCTGAAGCACTTAGAGGAGAGGAAAGTGATGAGGAACAGTCAGCATGGATTCACCAAGGGCAAGTCATGCCTGACTAACCTAATTGCATTCTATGACGAGATAACTGGCTCTGTGGATGAGAGGAAAGCAGTGGACGTGTTGTTCCTTGACTTTAGCAAAGCTTTTGATACAGTCTCCCACAGTATTCTTGCCAGCAAGTTAAAGAAGTATGAGCTGGATGAATGGACTAGAAGGTGGATAGAAAATTGGCTAGATCGTCGGGCTCAATGGGTAGTGATCAATGGCTCCATGTCTAGTTAGCAGCCAGTATCAAGTGGAGTGCCCCAAGGGTCAGTCCTCAGGCCGGTTTTGTTCAATATCTTCATAAATGATCTGTAGGATGGTGTGGATTGCACCCTCAGCAAGTTTGCAGATGACACTAAACTGGGAGGAGAGGAAGATACGTTGGAGGGTAGGGATAGGATACAGAAGGACCTAGACAAATTAGAGGATTGGGCCAAAAGAAATTTGATGAGGTTCAACAAGGACAAGTGCAGAGTCCTGCACTTAGGACGGAAGAATCCCATGTACCGCTACAGACTAGGGACCAAATGGCTAGGCAGCAGTTCTGCAGAAAAGGACCTAGGGGTTACAGTGGACAAGAAGCTAGATATCAGTCAACAGTGTGCCCTTGTTGCCAAGAAAGCCAATGGCATTTTGGGATGTATAAGTACGGGCATTGCCAGCAGATCGAGGGACGAGATCATTCTCCTCTATTCGACATTGGTGAGGCCTCATCCGGAGTACTGTGTCCAGTTTTGGGCCCCACACTACAAGAAGGATGTGGAAAAATTGGAAAGCATCTAGCAGAGGGCAACAAAAATGATTAGGGCCTTGGAACACATGAGTTACGAGGAGAGGCTGAGCGAACTGGGATTGTTTAGTCTGCAGAAGAGAAGAATGAGGGGGGATTTGATAGCTACTTTCAACTATCTGAAAGGGGGTTCCAAAGACAATGGATCTAGACTGTTCTCAGTGGTAGCAGATGACAGAACAAGGAGCAATGGTTTCAAGTTGCAGTGGGGGAGGTGTAGGTTGGATATTAGGAAAAACTTTTTCACTAGGAGGGTAGTGAAACACTGGAATGCGTTACCTAGGGAGGTGGTAGAATCTCCTTCCTTAGAAGTTTTTAAGGTCAGGCTTCACAAAGCCCTGGCTGGGATGATTTAGTTGGGGATTGGTCCTGCTTTGAGCAGGGGGTTGGACTAGATGATCTCCTGAGGTCCCTTCCAACCCTGATATTCTATGATTCTAAACCAAATGACTTATTAAATAAAGAAAGTATTCTCTATAGTTAGCAAACTGAACTGACTGTTTCTGGCCACCATGTCCATGAAGATTTTATAACGAGTAGATCTCATCCTCTCACAGCTATATTTTTTTCATAGACTGGAAGATGAAAACAAGATTTCCTGCTTTTTCAACACCCAATTGGTTTCTCAACTATGAATAAATGAGTCATCAAATTGAATTAGTTGAATAAACTGAAAGGAAGAAAATACTCTTTGCATCTGCAAAAGAGAACACTGCTGTCAAAAGCAAGTTCAGCACTTCAACAAATTCTGGTTCCAGGTGCATAGCCAGCGACTTCCATCAGTTCAGTGGTTTCACTTTCTTTAAAATTTAACAGCAAACATCTATTGCTTATATTTTTTTTGTACTTAATTAACACAATGTTAATGGATCACAATAATTTTAGGCCTGACATGGATTGTCAATTTCACATTTTGTTTTAAATAAATTTATTTTTTAAAAATAAACTTGTATTTAAATAAAAAAGACCGATTTATTTATTTTTAAATTATCAAATTTTATCCACCCTGCTAAACAGAAAGTTGGTTCAGCCCCTGTGTATGGGTGTAGGCACAGCCACCCAGGTCTCAAAAAGCAACCTTTCTTGATGGAGAAGGGTGCAGAGCACTGAACGGCTTTTAGAAAAAGTGTCTTTGCCCAGTTTTCTTCAACCTGAAATGAGTATTGGAGAAACTCAACAGAATGGAATGCATGGGAGTGTCTGAGGGCTTCAAGAGACCCACTCACCAGGAAAGGGGGGGGGGGACCCTGTTCCAGCTCAAATACTACTGAATAAGTTAGTATTTTATACATATTTTAATGTGAAAACTATCATCATCATAAAGCAAAGGTAAACAGACTACAGTAAAAATACAATAAATGAGATCAATACCATAAAAAAGAAAAAAAACATACCTTCACTACAGAATGGTCTTTTGATACCGGAGAAATTCACCATTTCGTGCAGAGTTTTCTCCTCTTGGCAGTATTCACAGTATGTAACTATGCAGTGCAGTTTCTTATAATCATCAGAACAAGTTCTGCTGCAGAACTGGAATACTTTGTTCTAAACACAAAATAAAGTATAAAAAAGTATTAAGATTGGTATAGATCAACTTTTAAACAAGAATCTGCTTTTAATACACAAATGCTTAAAAAATATGGCATGAGCAAAGGTAGAAGTATATACAAGGTAGTGTGACCTCTACCACTAAAGATAACCGCTTTTGATTAAACTGACACTCAATGCTACAGAAGTTATTTGTCATTAAGTATTTCACATGGAGAAAGTGACAACTGAGAAAGAATACACATTGGTGGATCTTAAAAAACAGTGCATTTCCTTTTGCTATTTTCCTCTTTTTCAATTTACAGACAAATTTCAAGATAGTCTAAGATCAGCTATAATCTCTAAAGCAGAGTAGTTGAATAGGAGATGAAGAGAACTGTGACCTACCTGTACTATAATTATTGTTCTTTGAGATGTGGATACAGACGTGAGGTCCACTCATATGTGTGCAGCCAGTGCGCCGAAGCAATTTGCTTAGAAGTACCCATCGGGGCCACACACATGCCCTCTGTCCCCCTCATAACCCACCCAAGGCTATTTAAGGTTGGCACCACTCTGACCCCACTCAGTTCCTTTGCACTGGAATCCAAGACTGGAGACTTCAGTATAGAGAGGACAACGGGTGGATCATGGAATACACGTCTGCACCCATATCTTAAAGAACAACAGTTACAGAACAGGTAGATAACCACTTTTTCTTTGAGTGGCTGCAGACATGTATTCCATCAAGATGATTCACAAGCAGTAATGGAAGGAGATGGAGCTCGGAATCTTCTTAATAGCAACTACAGAACTGCCCTTCCAAAGTTTGCGTCTGATCAAGGTTCAGTTTTAACAGTGTAGTCTTTGGTAAAAAGATGTATGGTAGACAAGCTAGCACCCCAACAAATATCCAATATGAAGTTACTGTAACTGGAGGTCTTCAAGATGTGTGGTCCCTATCTGTATCCCACACGTTGGTACACGTGTACACCATATGCCTGAGTCCAGAAGTTTTTCCAAGCAATCTCCCCTTGTGCTCCTGATGAAGGGTATAAGGGGCAGTGCGAAGTGACGCCGCTCCAGTTCCTCCTTTTACTGCAATATAATCAAGTCTGAAATAGAGGGGAAGGAGGGCAGGCAGTTGAATATAGAAAGGGGCCACATATTTCAATAAACCTCCAGTTACTCTTAAGTAACCACCTCTTCTTCTTCGAGTGCTGGTCCCTATGGGTATTCCACACATGGGTGACTTGCAAGCAGTGATCAGAGTGGAGGAGGGTGCGCAGATGCTGGTAAGAAGAAAAGGAGTACTTGTGGCATCTTAGAGACTAACAAATTTATTTGAGCATAAGCTTTCATGAGCTACAGCTCACTTCATCGGATGCATGTAGTGGAAAATACAGTGGGGAGATTTTATATACACAGAGAACATGAAACAATGGGTGTTACCATACAGACTGTAACAAGAGTGATCACTTAAGGTGAGCTATTACCAGCAGGAGAGCGTGGGGGAACACACCTTTTGTAGTGATAATCAAGGTGGGCCATTTCTAGCAGTTGACAAGAACATCTGAGGAACAGTGGGGGGGGGGGGGTGAGAGAGAGAAATAAACATGGGGAAATAGTTTTACTTTGTGTAATGACCCATCCACTCCCAGTCTCTATTCAAGCCTAAGTTAATTGTATCCAGTTTGCAAATTAATTCCAATTCAGCAGTCGGTCTCTCATTGGAGTCTGTTTTTGAAGTCTTTTTGTGGAAGAATTGCCACTTTTAGGTCTGTAATCGAGCGACCAAAGAGATTGATGCTTCTCCGACTGGTTTTTGAATGTTATAATTCTTGATGTCTGATTTGTGTCCATTTATTCTTTTACATAGAGACTGTCCAGTTTGACCAATGTACATGGCAGAGGGGCATTGCTGGCACATATCCCATTGGTAGATGTGCAGGTGAACGAGCCTCTGATAGTGTGCCTGATGTGATTAGGCCCTATGATGGTGTCCCCTGAATAAATATGTGGACACAGTTGGCAATGGGCTTTGTTGCAAGGATAGGGTCCTGGGTTAGTGTTTTTGTTGTGTGGTGTGTAGTTGCTGGTGAGTATTTGCTTCAGGTTGGGGGGCTGTCTGTAAGCAAGGACTAGGCTGTCTCCCAAGATCTGTGAGAGTGATGGTTCGTCCTTCAGGATAGGTTGTAGATCCTTGACGATGCATTGGAGAGGTTTTAGTTGGGGGCTGAAGGTGATGACATTCTGTTATTTTCTTTGTTGGGCCTGTCCTGTAGACGGTAACTTCTGGGTAACTCTTCTGGCTCTGTCAATCCGTTTCTTCACTTCAGCAGGTGGGTATTGTAGTTGTAAGAACGCTTGATAGAGATCTTGTTGTGTTTATCTCTGTCTGAAGGGTGGCCCTGGGAGAATTGACAGGGTGAGGTTGAAGTCCCACTGAAGCCTGGACTTGATGATGGGTGGGAAGTTTCTGATCAAGCCTTTCATAAAGAGTACCGTCATCAGATGCATGAAGATAGAGCACCTTCTTTCCCCTGGTGTAGGGATGCTAACTATTGTTAGGTGTACACAAAGTGAACTAAGGGACAAACCTCGTGCTTTTAGGGCGAGGAAATAGGCAAGGATAATCAGAATGTCTACCGTGATGAGGGAATGGTGGTGGCGGCACACGCAAGAGAAAAAGGTGCATCATTTAGCTTGGTAGTATGTTCTTGAAGACTCTTTCCTGCTCTGGTTAAGGAGTACCTGGACTGAGGCAGAGTCTGAGCTTACTATGTCCAACACCCATCCAAGCACCAAGCCGTGAGGTGGAGTGAGCTTGGGATGGGAAACCTGAGCCTCCCATGGTCTTGTGTCAGGAGAACCTGAAATGGGCTGATCCTGATGGGCGGGTGTGTGGACAGAACTGTCTTGGCCAATAGGGCATTAGGAGGAGGATGGTGGCTGCGTCTTGGCAAATCTTCCAGAGAACGTGTGGTCCGAGAGGAATGGGAGAAAAGGCATATCAGAGTCTACCCATCCAGGGAAGCAGGAGAGCATCGCCCTATGAGTCACTGCCTATGGCCACACTGGAGCACTATTTGGGCATCTTTCTGTTCATCTGGGACGCAAACAGGTCCCATAGGGGAGTACTCCACTGCGCAAAGATGTTGGTCAGACCTGTGTAATGTATTTCCCATTCATGATCTATGTAGAGACTTCTGCTTAGTCTGTCTGCTAGGGAGTTCTGAGCAGCTGGGAGGTATCTGGGCTGTATGGTAACCTGATTCCTGACACACCAGTGGCACAGTATGACTACCTCAAAGCAGGAGGGGGACAAGATCTCGCTCCTCCCTGTTAGTTTATATATACCATCATGGTGATATTGTCCGATAGGACTTGTAAGCAGAGGAAACGTTTGAGGGGAAAGAATGCCTTGCAGGCTAGGTGGACTGTTCCGAGTTCCAGCAAGTTTCCATGCAGCCTAGTTTCCCATGATGTCCACATCCCCTCGGCTGCATGGCACTCCAGGTGAGTATCCCATCCTGTAAGGGAGGCCCTTGGTATGGAAGAGCTGAAAGGGATCCCCACCATGACCTTGGCTGGGTTGGACCACCAACCAAGAAAGGCAAGAACTTCTGAGGGAACAGTGACTCAGGAGTCAATGTGGTCCCTGGTTGCCTGGTAGGTTGAGTGGACCCAGACTTGTAGGCACCACAAGTGGAGCCTGACAAAAAATGTCATATGTGCATGAGGCCATTGTACAACTAAGATTTCTAAACTACAGAATAACTATTTATAGCAAATATATACAGTAACTCTTCTAAAGATTACAAGAGCGAAGGGGAACAGGGTTCTGACTCAGGCCATGTGGCGATAAGCAGGAACTGGAGTGGTGTTGACCTGCACCACCCCTTATACCATCAGGTGAAAGCATAAGGGAAGATGCTGTGCATGTGTGGGTCAATAGACACTGCTTGGAAAAACTTCCAGACTCAGGTGCATGGCGCATATATGTACCCATGTTTGGGATACATAGAGGGACTAGCACTTGAAGAAAACACATTATTGAGAAATTTGACCAAAGTCACTTGGGCCCTCATCAAATGAGCCACCAGTCTCCAAGGAGATGTGGTCTGAGCAACGCCATTTGTTGTCATAATGCAGAAAGTAATTTAACTATGTGGAAACCTTTTGACCCTTCATCAGATCTGCAGAAGAGACAAAAAGTTGAGGTGATGCCTTAAATGATCTAATACCAATGTTCATCTCATATCCAAGGAATGAGGATGCTGTTCATTCACATCTGAGTGAGGCTTGGTGCAACTGTGACACCACTTTTGGATACAGAGGTTCTACTATTAAGGCTTGCAGTTCACTAACTCTCCTCATAGAAATTATAGCTTTTTATTTTTATTGCTGTCTTTTGGCAAAGGGGAGACAGAGCAAGTTGCTAGTGGCTCAAAATGGAGGACCCATGAGGGAAGCCAGTATAGTACTGAAGTCCCACAAGGCAATCATTGAGGAGGAGGAGGACAACACCTTTTAGAAAGATAGCTATCACGGACTTGGAAAATCCCAACTTCCCTTGCATCAGAGGATAAAGTGCTGAGCTCAAGCTCAGAGACAGATCTGAGGACCTAAGTTGTAACAGGTAATCCAAAACTTCTTGAATATGTGGTAGCATCAGTTGAATTCCCCAAGCCAATGACCAAATTAGGTAAACCTGGGAGAAGGATCTCTCCTACAAAGTAGGACTTGCTGCACTGCTTGAGAACACTGTTCTTCCTCCTCATCTAACCATGCAGTACCCACGCGATTAGGTGCAGACTGCTTGGTGCTTGATACCATATCTGACCATGGTGTTGTGTCAGTGGGTAAGGAATGAGGGGGAGAGATCTGGGAGGTTGAACCGACAGATTGTGAAGGTTAGAAAATCAGCACTGTCTCAGCCAAACTAGTGCAATGAGTATAACTCTCACATGATCCAACTTCAGTTTGAGAATAACATGAGGGACAAGTGGGATCTGGGGGAGTGCATACATCAGGGCCAATACACAATTCAAATGGAAGGCATTGGTTAATGAGCCAGACTGAGAACACCCCCCCCGCCCCGGAGTGCAAAATTGACTGCATTTCTTGGTGTCTTTCATCGCAAACAGGGCAACTGTCTGAATGCCCTATTCTTTGAAACTGGATCTCAGCACATGGCCCTTCACAGACCACTGGTGACTTTGGGAGAAATTCCTGCAGAAATGATTGACCAACCGATTCGGTGAACCTGGTAAGTGTGCAACTGTGGGAATGATGTCTTCCTCGATGCAAAAATGTCAAAACATCATGGCTTCCTGACAGAGCTGGTTGGAATCGACTCCTCCCTGTCTGTTCACATAGTACATTGTAGTGGTATTGTCATTAAGTATGTGAATCGCTGCACACCCTTGATCTAGTCCCAAAAGGCCAGGCACACATTGTCAATCACTCAAAGTTCCAGGACACTGATATGAAGGGAAGCTTCCTGTTCAGTTAATACACCCCTGTACTTTCAGTGTCCCTAAATGCATCCTCCAACCTATTGTGGAGGCATCAGTAACTATAGTCCTGGTCACTGGAGGACAGGCGAAGGGAACACCTTTACATACATTGCTCTGATCTCACCACCACTGTAAAGACTTCAGAATCACCACTGGCACTCGGACATGCCTGTCTAAATTTGGGCAACAGACCAAATTCAGCTATGATTGAAGAAGACAAAAGTCACAACACCACACACTGGATTACGTAAGTGCCTGCAGCCACATGACCTGAAGTTGAAAGGTGAGATTGCAGGTACAGACACAGGCAATGAATTGTTCAGTATCATTCATGCAGGAGAAAAGCCCTCCAACTCGTAGAGCCTATTGGGCCCCGCTTAACTTGATTTTTTTGTTGACATTAATTTTGACTTTCCTTTGTTCAAAATCAGCCCCAGCCAGACTAAGAGATCCAACATTAACTCAATGAGACAGAGGACTTGGTCTTTGGACTTGTCCCTCACTAGCCAATCATCCAGGTCCTGGAAGACGTGAATTCCCATCCTCCTGACAGGCCAAAGGGGATTACTGTGTTACTGATAATTTTGGCCTACCACTATGAATCTCAGAAACTTTCTATGGCTTAGGAAAATCTTCACATGGAAGTAGGCATCCAGAAGATTGAGGGCAGCAAACCAGACATTCTGCTCTAACGTTGGGAGAACTGTAGCTAAGATTACTATACGGAATCTTATATTTTTGATGTACTTCTTGAGACCTCGGAGGTCCGGAATATGTCTCATCCCTTCATGGGGTTTGGGGATCAGGAAATAATGGGAGTAGAATCCCTTTCCCCGATATTGAATGGGAACTTCCTCTACTGCTCCCAAAGTGTAGAGTCTCGATTTGCAGTAGAAGCACTGACTGATGAGAGGGTTCCCTGAAAAGGGACAAAGTTGGGGTGTGTGACAGGGCGGACAGACAGGAATTGGATGGCATAATCTAATCCTACCATGCTTAGAATCCATACATCTGTGGTTACTGTTTCCTGAACACTGTAGAAAAGGGACAAATCTGTCCCTAAATGGCAGGAAAGTGGAATGGAAGTTGACGACTGGTATGTTGACCTCCACAGGAAAGCCAATTTGACTGCTTGCCTAAAACTGATCGACTGCTTGCAAAAGGAACACTTCTCCTTAATATGCCCTTCTCCGAGGCACAATACGCACTAATAATGGGGACTGCTACTGCAGATAACTACTTCATAGGAGGAACAGTGCTGGAAACCTTGTGAAGGCATTGCTCCAGGCAAAAATCAACTATTTAACAATCTAACTCTAGGGGTCTACTACTAACTGTAATTACATATTAAAGAAACCACAGAGAAAACTCTCAGACAACAATATATGAGGTAAATACCTCATGAAATGCTTAAACTCAAGCCGTGGGTGATGACAAGGAACTGAGGAGGGTTAGGGCAGCACCACCTTCAAAAAGCCCTAGGAGCTACAAGAGGCCAAAAGCAGCATGCACCACACAATTGATATTACTAAGCAAAGTTCTCCAGCACTGGTACACACACACACCTGAGTGGAATACATATCTGCAACTACTCAAAGAAGAAGCAGGCTTCAACCTCTACAGCTGAGGTAAGAAAAGAGAATTACCTTTTACTTTAAATTCTAGATCCTTTTTGCTATATATAATATGGTACTTTGTGTGCATGCACATGTGCATGCACACACTCTCGCAAAACCTTTTGATTCTATCAGTAAAACACAAATTTAATTATAGGTTTAACATTATTAATATCCAATTTTTGCTAATTAAAACATTAAAAAGAAAAGTTATGCAAACTTTAAGGACTACCCCACTATTAAGAGGTACACATTTAAACATATATAGGTTACTTATGAAGGGGTTTTTAAACCTATTTGGCAAGTACACGTAACCACTCCCTACTTCTGCTTCAGTATTATCAAGGAACTTACCTCCCACTCCAGTACTTCTGGCTTTGAACAAAAAGAACCTTTGCAATAATTGCATTTCAGTTGAATGTCACTTGGAGACACAAACTGACCATTGGTTGAAGACTGCACACTAAGAGTCTGAAAAATATAAAAACATATACACATCACTGTAGAAACTATGTTCTACAAATTTAGATTTTTCTTAATTAAAATACGTTTCATTAAAGTTACACTGTTAATGATAATATAGGTTTTTATGTTATTGAATTTAGGAGCTTTCCTTGTAGAAGGCACAACAGATAACCCTTTCCACTTCTGATTGATTCTCTCCACCTCTCTCAATTGCTTACAGGTGTTTTCCCTCATCTTCACAATCTCTTACTCTTGCTCGTTATAATCCATTTGTTTCACCTATGATGATCTTCAGTCTTGTTTCTCCTACATTCTCATCTACTGTACTCAATGTTAAGGACCTCTTTAGGCTTCTCCTTGTGTGTATGCATAAAACTGAAGAGCACCCCCGTGCCTCATCACTGATCAGCTGACAATCAGTCATGTAGCTTGAAATAAACATAGTTTGATAGTTCTAGATGGGAATCATCATTTATATCAGAGGTTTTGTATGAAAGGAACTAGACAAAGCAATATTTATAAAGAACCCCCCCCCCCAAAAAAAACCAAGGCAGATTAACACTACCCTGCCCTCAGGCAAAAGTCTGAGAATGGAGAAGCCATATATCGCGTCTTAAATGGTCAAACTTAAATGGTCTCCATTCTAGCAGATCAGATGAGGAAACAAATGCCAGAGTAGAGGGCCATCTACTGAGAATACCCTGCACCCAGTTTCCAGAAAAATCTGGAAATACGTGCTGTGTCCCAACGGGCTCAACTGCCATGGCAAGAAGAGGCACTCGCTCAGGTAACCAGATCTCACGCCATTTAGGGCTTTTAGATTCAAGGAGACATCGTGTATTGCATTTGGAAGTGTACAGAAAGCCAACATCACAGCTGAAGAACGGATGTAAAATATTCCCTGCAGTAAATACCACTTTGATGAAAAACTCCGTTCTATACCAGAAGCTTTCCATCCGTCTTATAGACCCATTATGGACATCAGTCTTTGCACATCACTAAATCAACCACCAACTAGATTGGCATATTCTCTGTGCTGTGATCATGCCAGAGTCTCAATCAAAGGTGATCACAGAAATCTGAAGAAATTTGAGATACCACTAGCTTCCCCACACCCACCTTCTTAATAGCCTTTCCCAATAGGGAAAGATTATAAACAGGACAAAAACAAGTTTGAAACTTTTTTTATTTTAGTTTTAAGTAGGGAACTAATCAAAGTTTGGGATAAGCTTTAACCTCAAACAATAATGGACTCATTACCACTGCTCAAGCTGATTTCAAAAGTCATGCTGGTCCAGGGTTTAACACACATTTCTCAGGACAGCTCTCCTTGAAACTTGGAGTTCACAGATGTGCTTCACTGGCATAAAAATGGCACATCAAGTAACATACCAACATACACTGGTCTGGTGCAAGACCCAACTTTACACAAGTGTATCATCAGGAGTTTGCATGAGTTTTCATACTGGTGCACTAATGTAGGTGAGGCCTCAGAGTAAAACTGGCCTAACCTCAAAAAGAAAAGATCTCTTTTGTTTCTTCAGACAACATGATTATAACTTGAACCCAGTGCAACGTCCACAAACAGTACTCCATACAAGCATTTCAGGGCCTCTGAATCTTCACACCTGTCACATTATGTCCTGCACAGATCTCTGCAGTATTATGTAATAGGTTTATTTAAACTTGATCACATTTTGGCTTGTTCTGTTGCCTGTTTTAAATGGTTCTATTCTGTATTGGGAGCTGTGCAAGTGCTATGAAGAGTAGGATATACAACTTGCTACATCCTCATACTTGCAGATGTCAGGACAAAGTCATCAGCTCCCTCAGCACGTTACTGGACTGGTGACTACAATTTATTCTGATAAACAATCATGCCTTTGTGTGTTGGTGTTCAAGGAGTAAAATAGTATGATTTTGTTTAAGTTGAAGTTTTCTTGTTCTGCTGATTTTTTCCTTTGTCTTATTACAGAAAATCCTCTCTTGCATGTTTCTCTCCAGAATCAAGGAAGGAGTAGTCTGAGTGTAGAGAGAAGATCTCTCTCTGGGTCCTTCAACTACCGATTCTGTTCCTCTCCCCACTATCCACTCCTCCACTAAGTGCAGGGGAGGCCCTAGGGAGTTGCACTGGGTCGGAAATGAGCAGGTACTAAAGCAACATGCAGAGGGAGGTGGTTCCTTTTTATCAGAGCTTTGGAATATGGGAGATGTTGCTGAAACAGTTGTGACAACCCCTAGGCAATAAAGTACATTAGAAATGGTATGTCCCCATAACCGCTGATTTTGTTTTAAACAAAAATGACAATCGCTAAAAAGGGAGGGCAAAGGAATTTTTTTTTAAGTGTTAAAGGTGATCGAAAAAACTGGTTATGTGGCTTTTTTGCTTCTTTTGATATATAAAAGTCCTGAAAGGATTTTATTTAATGTTCCCTTGCTCTTCTTCATATATTAGAAATTCAAGTCCTGACTAGGCTGGAAGACTAATGACTGGACAAGTAGCAAAATGGTTACATGACAAAAGTGAAAATTAAAGAGCTGAGAACAGAGATTTTTAGTCAGAAAATTCAAAATTTGTTTTAATTAATATTTAAAGTTTAATGACTAATATTTTAGATAATAATGGAAATGGTTGTTTATGAGATTTAACATACACACATCTTCAATTAAAATACAGCTCACAACAAGCACCACAGAGGTCTACCAGAGATTGCCAGGGAAGACCAGAATTTACATTTCTAATATTTCTAAAATAAAGAACAAGCAAAGAAGAATTTTTTAAAATATCAAAATAATCCTTCTGGCCATTTATAATACCTTATTTGAGCTCATCTATAAGACCTCTACCCCACTCACAATTTTCTTCTTCTTTAAGGTTAACTTCTGCCATGTGTTTACAATTGATCGAGTTTACAATTGATTGATTATTGTTTTTTCCCCTAACTCTGTCTATCCTTACATTGCAAGCTGCTCAAAGAGAACCTCCTTCTTGAATGTCTGGAAAGCGTCTAGCACATAGTGTATACTACACTTAGAATAAATAAAGCAGCAAAAAAAGGGCACAAGCCCATTTAAAAAAAATTTCCAGGCACCTTTATGTTATTTTTTATTAATATTTTTATTAAAGTTGTATTTTAAATTACACATTTGTTCCCTTCTTTGTTGAGCTGTCATCTGAGCCAACAATGGTCATGTTTCGTTGCAGCTGCTCGAGGGCTTTCCCTGAATACAGAGGACATAGGAAGTGCCAGGCACAGATGAGACCATCAGAGACCACAATCAGGCTTGCATCCAAGCAACTTAAACAGGTGACACAGCCAGTGCTCTGAGCTGTCAGACTGTCACTAAAGAGTGGAACAGGAACAGTCTTGGATTGCACTGGGAGAACTGAAGCACTAATACAATTGCTAAGCCCAGCACTTACATTCTACACTGGCACTGCAACTGGTGGAAGGTGACAAAGTGCTGAATAACATGGAAGTTAGAGTTGCTCTGAGCAAGGGCAGTTCAAACTGCAGTAGCAATTTTGCATATGGATGCATGTGTTACTGGGCTTCTAGGAGGTCCAAACAATAGATAGCACACCAAGTATTTCTGGTTTTGACAAAGCTAAAATGAACCACCCAGAAAGAATCAAATTGTTCCAATCAGTGAAATAATGTAAACGGAAAAAAAATCAGAGTACATAAAATGTGTCTGTTCCTTAGAAGAGCTAATTTATCAGTCACCCATCCACCCAGGATTGTTCCACAAACAAACCTCAACAACATTACAGCCAGTAGCGTAGCTGGGGAGGGGGGGAGGCGCTGGGTGGGGCAACGGCCGCTCCCCCACTAAGCAGAAGTGGCTCCTTTTTAAGTCCTTGGCGCCTTTTAAAATTTTTACTCACCCGGCGGCGCTCCGGGTCTTCGGCAGCGGTTCAGGGGGAGCAGACATAAAAAAAGGCACCACTCCCTGGTACTCACTCACTCGGGTCTTTGGCAGCATTGCGGTGGCGGGGGGGGTCCTTCAGTCCCAAACACCGGATCGAGTGAAGGACCAGACGACGAAGTGCTGCTGAAGACCTGGAGCGCTGCCAGGTGAATACAAGGGGGTGGCGCCTTTTTCTATCTCCACTCCGCCTGTTTTTTCCACCTGGCTACACCACTGGTTACAGGTTTTTTTCTTTCCCAGTGCTATGTCCATTACATCTTCAGTACAGGACCGTCAAATATTTTCTCCACTACTATCAGACTCATACCACGGATTTCCACCACCAGCATGCCACCCTCCCATCACACGCATTCCATGGCAGAGGATGAGAGAGAAGAGAGAGAACAGCATACTACCTGGCCACCAACAAAATGGGCAACAAGCTGCAGGATATTCTACTTAAAGAAGTCTGAAACCCACTAGATCCAGCACTCTCTAGGCACACTAGAAAACAGATGTCGAGACATGACGAAAGAGAAGACTATTTAAGAAAGGCACTTTGCTCCCATTCAGGACTGAGGCTACTGGCAAGATGACCTTGCAAGCTCATACTGCAGCACCACATCTTCATAGAGAAGGAATTTCCAGCCTCAGTTTCCTCAAATCTCAAGTTCAGACATAAAAAAAATCTTCAGTTGTCTCAGTGGACTTAATGGCAGCACAATGGAGACATTAATATAATTAGCATGTTTAGGATATATGGAAAGGCCTCAGACATTCTTGCATAGTGTTTCACCAGCAACCACCTACGGAACAGCCGCCTTAGGTAAACATGCCTGGTCTTCTCTCAGTCACAAGGACGAATGCTTACACTCAACTGCTCAAGGAAAGGAGAACAGTATTTATATATTAGCATAAATGCCATAGCATACACCTCAAGTGAACTGTTCAAATGCTTTTAATGTGTTACCAAGTAATTTTTATTTGGAAATGAAAGAATTATTCAAGAGAAGATACATTATCAGAGTGGGAAACATAGCAACCTACCTTAAGAGTAGAATGAAAGAATAAGATTGTGGATCAAAGGGATTTGATCAAAGTATCACCTTGCATTTTCTCTCTTAACGGTGCAGAACCACCCATGACCAGCAGAAATTAAAATCACTTGTGGAACCCTATATTCACTCCTTTCTGCAAAACTTTCAGCCCTTTACGATTAAAAGCAAACCATACAGAGTGGCTAGATGACAAATTGTTGGGTAACAGTTAATACTAATTCATGTCAAACTCATTTTAACTGAGTAAATCCCAGTTTGAGAGGATTCACTTAAAAAGGACTATTAAAGAAAAAACCAGGTACACTACTAGGCACATTATTACCTATTACTGTTGAGATGGGCAAAAGGTGAAGCTAAATTTACATTAGCCAACAGAAAATTCAGAGTATTGTATTAAGTCAATTATTTAATCCATCACATGATTTGTAGTACTGCTGCTCACATGGTTAATTAAACACGTAAATCCATCACCCATTGCTTGAAGCATTGCACATGCATTGGTGGTTGAGTGTCCCACACTTTTGTGAGGGAATCTCATATTTTGTGAATAAAATCAAGCAGATTCAGAATTAATTGCCTTTTTCCATAGATGAAAGGAAACATCTTGACTGAAGAGGGCAAAAAAAACTGGTTTCCTCTTCTTGAGTTCAGTGCCATGTAGTTCACTCTGGTATTAGAGATGCCAGGAATACTTCATGCCACAACCTGTGTTTCAGATCTCTGTCCTTCCTCTCTGAATATACCCCGAAGAGTGGAACATGGGTGAACTGTTGATAGATATTATCAACTCTTCCTTCAGAGGAGTTGGCTTCTATTAAGTACAGTAACTCCCCACTTAACATCCTCTCACTTAACGTTGTTTCAATCTTACGTCCCTGCTCAATTACAGAACATGCTCCATTTAAAATTGTGTAATGCTTTGCTGTAACGTCATTTGGCTGCCTGCTTCGTCCACAGCTGGCAACCTCCCTATCAGCTCCCGTACACCCCGCCTCCCACTCCAATGCCTCCCGCCCACCGGCAGACCCCGCATATCAGCACCTTACCCCTCCACAACCCACCTACTGCCCGCGGCAATCAGCTGGCTTGTGGCATTCGGGGGGCAGGGGCAAGAGCGAGGACTTGGTGCGCAGACTCCCCCTCCCTCCACGCCTCCTGAATGCCGCAAACCAGCTGATTGCCACAAGCAAGAGGGGGAAGGCTGCGCTTCGAGTCCTCACTCCTCTCCCCTCCCTCCTTGCCCCTGAACACCGCAAGCCAGCTGATTGCCACAGGCAGGAGGGAGGGGGGAGAAGCGAGGACACAGTGTGCCTTCCCCTCCCTCCCCTGCCTCCTGCCTGCAGCAATCAGCTGGCTTGCAGTGTTCGAGAGGGAGGGGGAGCCTGCGAGCGGTGTCCTCACTCCTCCCCCCTGAATGCCGCAAGCCAGCTGATTGCCGCGGGCAAGAGGCAGGAGCGAGGACGGGGCGTAAGGAGTAAAGGGGGAGAGGGGGAAGAAGAAGCGGGTGAAGGGTGGGGGTTTGGGGGAAAAGGGGTGGAGTGGGTGGGCCGAGGCTTAAGCCCCCCGCCCCTGGTGCTTGCAGAGTAGGGGAAGCTGCAGCTGCTGCTGCACAACATGCTTCTCCTAGCCTACAGCACCTTCAGCCTCCTTGCCTGCCTCATTTGTCGCCAGTGCCAGTGGGCGGTGCCTGTCCGGGGTAAGGCGGGGACACCTCCCAACTATAGTACTGTACTATATGGCAAAAAAAATTTCCCTGGGACCTAACCCCCGCATTTACATTCATTCTTATGGGGAAACTGGATTAGCTTAACATCATTTCACTTAAAGTCGCATTTTTCAGAAACATAACTACAACGTTAAGTGAGGAGTTACTGTAAGTCATCACCTGAAGTGGACGATTTAGCCAACTACCACTAAGTATCTGACCTTCCATCTCTGGTTAAAAGTATTTAAAAGATTGCACCAAGACAATTTGTGGATGCCTCATATCATTTTAGTCCATGTTAACCTGGGCTGGGCACAGACCTAGTATAGCACAGACACTGTAAAGGTAGCACTGGCTGATCTCCTATGGAAGAGGAACAACCAGTAGCCATGCCAACATTTGTAGATCTGTCAGCTGCTTTCAGTATCATGGATGAAACACTGTCTGGTCTGCAAGGCCAAGCAGGAGCAGACAGGATTGTCCTTTAGTAGCTTTCTCTCTCAAGAGATACCAAACTGCTTTTCAGCCTCAAGAACTCTCACATGTAGAATTCTACAGGATTCATCATAATGAACAAAGGGGGTAGGTGGGAATGACAAATATACACATGACTGCTGGGAAGGTTAGCAAGAGGCATGGGTTATAGTTTTTCAATATGCTGACAACACTAGGGTGACCAGATGTCCTGATGTTATAGGGATAGTCCCAATTTTGGAGGCTTTTTCTTATATAGGCACCTATTACCCCCCACCCCCCGTCCTGATTTTTCACACTTGCCCTCTGGTCACCCTACACAACACCCAGCTCTATTTTGTTATTTCATCCAATCTAGACTGTGCTGTTAGATGCCTTACCAGATGTTTGATAAAGACTGGGGCACAGATGAAGGCTATCTGGCTGAAGATCAATCTGGAGAAGATTGATGTGATGCTGGTAGATATGTGAGAAGCAACCAGAAAATGCAGGGGGGGGGGATTACGTCTGCTCCCATAAATGTGCAAATTTTAACAACATATGGGAAGCCATTTGGGGGTATTGCTGGATCCCCAGTCACTGCTGGACAATCATATAGCAACAGTATTAAGAAGACTTTATTCCATTTTTGTTTAATCTGGAGATTGCAACAATTTCTTTCAGATGCAGACTAGGCTATTGTCATTCATACCTTTCTCACCTAAAGATTTAACTACTGCAGTGCAGTCTATATGGAGGCTACACCTTAAATCAAACCAGAAACTGAAGCTTGTGAGGAACGTGACAGTCCATTTGGTAAGTAGCGTATCCCACCAGAAAAACAGGGTATCAGTGCTCTGGGATGTGCATTGGCAACCTATTTGTTCTCTGGGTACAGTTTAAGTGGCTCATTTTCATCTGCAAGTCCTCAATGGCACAGAATGTAACAGTTTCAGAGAAAGCCTCTTTCCCCAAGACATATTGCCGTAGTTGCAGTCAGTGGAGCCCCATATGGTAGGTATTCAAACATGAAGGACCCTCAACTTTGGAATTCACTTCCTGGCCCACTTTGTCTGAAAGATCCAGAATTTGTTATCCTTCAGTGCACGCTGCAGGGCTCATCTTTGTACACATGCTTTTTTGGGGGGGAAGGATGTGGTGAGGACTGATATTGGTGGGTGTGCCCACGTATTGCTGGGATATATTTTGTATTGGTTATTTTCAGATTTTTAGGTTCTGAGTTTTATTCTTTATGAAATTGTACTTTTCATTATGTCAAAGTTGCCTGTGGCCCGAGATAGGCTTTTTTTTTTTTTAGTTTTAGTGCAAAAATCAAAATAAGCTATGTAAAAGCCAGATATTTTAATATGCACATATTTAACACACGCATCAACAAATATATACATATATATTTTCAGGGAGGAAGAGATTTAACACAACAGCTAACCTGAAATTTAGCTACACAACTGGAACTGCAAAAGTTGTACAGTTTTCCATCAGGCATTGTGGCTTGATATTGAGGTAAAGTGTTTCGTTTACAAAAGTGGCAAATAATTCCCATACCTAAAAGAAAAACGTAGTTTACAAAGAAAATAAATACAAGTAGTAGTGTAGAAATTTACTGGGTTATAATTTACCACTTCCTCTCATTTTATTAATGTAAAATCTAAACTTCATAATTAAATTTTCCTACCAAAAAAACTACTAGGCTCTGAAAATCTCACACACACGAGACAGGAATATATACATTTTAGTTCTTCCTGATCTTCTTTGTTAAACCTCAAAGTTAAAGTATTGTCGTGTTCCTATCAAAAACTTATTAGTATTTCCAATTTGGTGAACAAACTAATTCACTCTGTCTCCTTTTCCCACTCAGACATCTTGACAGATTTATACACCCCTTTCCCAGAATAAATGTCTTGGCTAAATGACGTATCTCGTGAAAGACACACAGTTGCAATGTCTCATGCATATGGACGGAATTTATTCAGTATTGGATGGTATCAAATATGAAAAAGTACCACGTACATGCATGAAGACTGTACTCTGTAGTACTCTGACTCTGTAGCATCACTGGCGTACACTATTTAATATGTCTCAATGTCCGTCCATCCCCTCCCCCAGTAACCTACAAGCCTCAATACACTGGAAAACTTTTTTTTTTTGGGCGGGGGGAGATTTGGGAATCAATATGCTAAAAGGAAGAGAGGGTTACAATATTCCAAATGGGAGATGACCAGAGCAGGGACTAAAATATTACAAGTCTAGAATATAAAAAGACAGTATGTTTTTCCTTTAAAATCTGCAAAACACTCAAGATACAATAGTGATGAGTGTAATTTTAAAACCTACATGAATTTATATTCTAAAACAGAAAAAATAATCTTAATACAAAGTGAGACTACTTTTGCAAATCTTATGTCTTTTCTTCTTCACAAGAGAAATAAACAGAAATAAAACATGGAAATAAAAAAAAAAGTGTTTTAATTCAAATCTACTCTTATCAGTGATGAAAAGCCACCATCCTTTTCACTTACTTTGTGATTTTGCATATTTTGCTTTGTGTGTGTTCATGCATGCAGTTGAGCAGTATGGCTCCATATATCCATTAGGTCCTATGCACTGAGTCATTTCAAAAAACCTGCACTGAGCTCTGCAACCAGTACAAGTTGTTAATTTGCCATATTTCTAAAACATAAAACAAAGCAAAACAATGCATTAGTCATGACTTTAAGTTACATTACACTAAGTACATAGGAAGATACATTTTCTGCTATTCTCACCTCATTAGAATCTTCCTGTATTACATAAAAGATCTAGAACATTTATTTTGGCAGGGAAGGATGGCTTGGCTAAAAATAAATATTTTTTTAAATTTAAAGCGTATTGAAAAAAATTTTGTGAACTGTGTTAGAGCCTAGGTAAGTCTGAGTGGTTACAATAGTTTGGAGGTAATGACATTTATCCCTTCCTGCTAGTGGATTAATGGTGTAATGAAAGAAGAATCTTTTCATGGAGGGAGGTGGGGCGGAAAACTAAAGTTTAAAATAAGGGATACTCTAAGCTCCAAAAAGGACTTCACCCAAGCAGGAAGAAAGGGCACAAGCAATTAGGCACCAAAATAGAACTCAGTAGGATATATGGAAAGTGGGATTTTATGTTAAATGCTAAAAAAGAAAGATTAAAAATGCTTTCATGAAGTTGAAATAAAATACATGGAATCTCTCTGTTTATAGACATGCTTGCCAGAAGCTGTGAATAGGCAACGGGATGAATCACTTGATGATTATCTGTTCTGTTCATTCCCTCTGGGGCACCTGGCATTGGCCACTGTCAGAAGACAAGATATTAGGCTAGATGGATCTTTGGTGTGACCCAGTATGGTCATTCTTATGTAAGCAGTAAAACAGGTTTCATCTTAAACCGCTCCCAAGGTAATTTTAGATATAAAGTGGTCATGCTCTTGTGCACCAGTATCTTATAGAAATACCCTGTACTTGACCTTCCACGCTAAATAACTCTCATAAGACTATCAGTAGCAAAATAATTACTGGTGAAATACAACCAACTTTCAGTGGGATCAAACGATCCACTGAGGTTGCCTGATGTTATGCTATACCATGGCTATGATGAGTATTGCTGTAGCCAGCAGAGCTAACATTAATATTGTTAGAGCTGAAGCTTTCTGGCTCTGACAAATCCTGAAGAGTGGATTTCTCTTAACTTTACAATATCTTGGGGCTCCTGTCCTGATGCAGTTGAGCCACGTCTAGAAGAGTTTCTATGTACATCAACTGATGACCCAACTGCAAGTTGAGACTTTGGGTGAACTCTAGGTAATTACAACACCGTGATGGTGACCAGTTGATTTTAGACACTCCTCACCCCCATCAGTAGTATCATTCCACCCCACAAGAGCACTCTCAAACCGTGCAGGTAAGTCAAACTAAGCCAAGGTAATCACTGAGTGAACACAAGTAGTACAGATGCCAACACAAACGGAATACACAAAATGGATAGTGCTGATGTCTTATATGAATTTGATACACATCTCAGTTAAGTAAGGATCCAAATGTACACAGAAGCATCAACAAGATACAACACAAAGCCAGTGGCCTCTATCTAGTAGTAGTATACTTGCTCGTAGGTGACCATCTTGAATTTTTCCTTTGAGGGATTACTGATTCATATATCATTATGTTGGATGAAGCCCTTCTAACATTTTAGGTATCTGGAAGCACTTGGAATAAAATCTGTTCCCTAATTTTGTCCAGTAGCCCATGCTTGATGGTAGACTTTTTCAAGAGGAATTTTCTGCAGCATCTTTTCCTAGTAGTTTCCCAAAATCATTCAACATCCAGGGCCCTTCCACTTCTATCAGTCAAGGGCAGGATGTAAGGACATAATTATCCTGTTTGCTGAGGGAACCTCGTTTGGGTACTTTTGGCTCTCTTAGTCTTTAAGGATTTATCATCAGTGACTTAGTCAAATCCAGAAGTCTATGCAGTCACTGGAGAAACTTGTGGAAGGTCAGTTCTTCCAGATCAGAGAGTCTATAATATTCTCTCGCCTCTGTAAAATGACCACCCACCCCAATTTGGTGAATTAATTTGCAACGGATAACAAAGCCTCATGGTACTCCAAAGAGTTTGGCTTCATGACCTGTGCAAGCCACTTTGAGGCATCCTCTGTTGTTGATCCGTTCTAATTCAAGAGTGGCTGGGTCTGTGCTTATGTGGACAATCCTAGCACCAAGAAGGAGGGATTCAACTCTGGCTTCTATTTAGAGAATCAATCCTTTGAAGGATTCCAGACCAATTTCATGCCCAGCTTACTGGAGATTCTCAGGAGTGCTTCTTGGGGAGTTTGCTCGTTGCGGGTGACATTTCTAATCAGATATATGACACCCACATAATTCACTCAACTCCCAAGCAAATGCAAAAGATGCTCACCTGTGAGGAATATCTTGTAGCAGCACTTCTTGAAACCATGTAAAGCAAAATTTAAAGAACTTAGCTATACGGAGCACAGTAAAGACCTCAAGGTAAAGTCTATGGAGGACTAGAATCCAGGAAGAAAGCCCTAAGAGCATTGAGTAATTACTCCAAAATCTATGCAGATAACCACTCAAAAGGTTCTAAGCAAAATCTGGAAGCACCGATGCAATTATGCTAAAAGGGAACTTTATAGATTGATTCTGCTCCTGGACACAGTCTGACAGCAGGAATGCAGTATGCAGGAGGTCAGACTAAATGATCTCGATGGTCCAATTTGGCTTTTACGTCTATGACAAATCACTGAGGCCTCCACAGGATTCTGGACTGGAAGAAGAGATCAAAATTAAACTGTCAGGCCTTGAAGGCTATCAGCACTCCACAGTATAGAAAAACAGAGATGCAAAAAAAATGAGATTTATTATACATTGACTGGAATGTTGGGGGAACACTCTGAAGGATATCCTATGTCTAACAAAGGAATGGTGGACAAAACAGTTGCAAAGGCAGCCAGAAAAGGTCACAGAGACCTTATTGCATATCTGGAATAAGGAAATGGCGTTTAGTATACAATCAGTAGCATAAGTAGCCAGGAGAGCTGGCTGTATTTTAAAGAATCCTTATTCAGGTTACAGTGACAAACCATTCCGATGTGTAGAAAGAACAGTAAATATGGCAGGCGACCAGCTTGGCTGAACAGTGAAATCCTTGCTGATCTTAAATACAAAAAAGAAGCTTACAAGAAGTGGAAGATTGGACAAATGACCAGGGAAGAGTACAAAAATATTGCTCGGGCATGCAGGAGTGAAATCAGGAAGGCCAAATCACACCTGCAGTTGCAGCTAGCAAGAGATGTTAAGAGTAACAAGAAGGGTTTCTACAGGTATGTTAGCAACAAGAAGAAAGTCAAGGAAAGGGTGGGCCCCTTACTGAATGAGGGAGGCAGCCTAGTGACAGAGGATGTGGAAAAAGCTAATGTACTCAATGCTTTTTTTGCCTGTCTTCACAAACAAGGTCAGCTCCCAGACTACTGCACTGGGCAGCACAGCATAGGGAGGAGGTGACCAGCCCTCTGTGGAGAAAGAAGTGGTTCAGGGCTATTTAGAAAAGCTGGACGTGCACAAGTCCATGGGGCCAGATGCGCTGCATCCGAGAGTGCTAAAGGAGTTGGCAGATGTGATTGCAGAGCCATTGGTCATTATCTTTGAAAACTCATGGCGATCGGGGGAAGTCCCGGGTTAAAAAGGCTAATGTAGTGCCCATCTTTGAAAAAGGAGGATCCTGGGAACTACAGGCCAGTCAGCCTCACCTCAGTCCCTGGAAAAATCATGGAGCAGGTCCTCAAGGAATCAATTCTGAAGCACTTAGAGGAGAGGAAAGTGATGAGGAACAGTCAGCATGGATTCACCAAGGGCAAGTCATGCCTGACTAACCTAATTGCATTCTGAGACGAGATAACTGGCTCTGTGGATGAAGGGAAAGCAGTGGACATGGTGTTCCTTGATTTTAGCAAAGCCTTTGACACAGTCTCCCACAGTATTCTTGCCAGGAAGTTAAAGAAGTATGGGCTGGATGAATGGACTAGAAGGTGGATAGAAAGCTGGCTAGATTGTCGGGCTCAAAGGGTAGTGATCAATGACTCCATGTCTAGTTGACAGCCGGTATCAAGCAGAGTGCCCCAAGGGTCGGTCCTCGGGCCGGTTTTGTTCAATATCTTCATAAATGATCTGTAGGATGGTGTGGATTGCACCCTCAGCAAGTTTACAGATGACACTAAACTGGGAGGAGAGGTAGATACGCTGGAGGGTAGGGATAGGATACAGAGGGACCTAGACAAATTGGAGGATTGGGCCAAAAGAAATCTGATGGAGGTTCAACAGGGACAAGTGCAAAGTCCTGCACTTAGGATGGAAGAATCCTATGCTACAGACTAGGGACCGAATGGCTAGGCAGCAGTTCTACAGAAAAGGACTGAGGGGTTACACTGGACAAGAAGCTGGATATCAGTCAACAGTGTGCCCTTGTTGCCAAGAAGGCCAATGGCATTTTGGGATGTATAAGTACGGGCACTGCCAGCAGATCGAGGGACATGATCGTTCCCCTCTATTTGATACTGGTGAGGCCTCATCTGGAGTACTGTGTCCAGTTTTGGGCCCCACACTACAAGAAGGATGTGGAAAAATTGGAAAGAGTCCAGCGGAGGGCAACAAAAATGATTAGGGGACTGGAACACATGACTTATGAGGAGAGGCTGAGGGAACTGGGGATGTTTAGTCTACGGAAGCGAAGAATGAGGGGGGATTTGATAGCTGCTTTCAACTACCTGAAAGGGGGTTCCAAAGAGGATATCTCTAGACTGTTCCCAGTGGTAGCAGATGACAGAACAAGGAGCAATGGTCTCAAGTTGCAGTGGGGGAGATTTAGGTTGGATATTAGGAAAAACTTTTTCACTAGGAGGGTGGTGAAACACTGGAATGCGTTACCTAGGGAGGTGGTAGAGTCTCCTTCCTTAGAAGTTTTTAAGGTCAGGCTTGACAAAGCCCTGGCTGGGATGATTTAATTGGGGATTGGTCCTGCTTTGAACAGGGGGTTGGACTAGATGACCTCCTGAGGTCCCTTCCAACCCTGATATTCTATGATTTTATGATTCTATGATAAGAAGGTGTCATGGCCCACTACCAGTGTTTCAGAGAT